ACTCTCTCTCTCTCTCTCTCTCTCTATATATATATATATATATATATATATATATATATATATATGCCAAGAAACATGCGCGCAAAGAGAGGGGTGAAGGCGCAGAAGCAAAGATGTATGCCCCGCACCGTACATAAAACAAGGACCAGCCATTCTCGTCTAGTAAAAAGATATATGTTTACTGCAGTGCCACCCACCCACCCACACCCACACCCACACCCACGTTCACATGCGCACACTCCCGACTAGCAAGAGGGATACCTCTCCCCCTCCTTTCGCAAAGAAATACAGAGATAATACAAAAACATCCAAAAGAAGGAAAAAAAAACAATAACAAAAACACATCTACTTCTCCGTAGATGGTGCTGCGCGCTTAACGGACTTTGCCCCAGCCACTGCGCGAGGAAGCCGCTCGCGTGACGGTCGTGAGCAGCCGTGACAAACTGCCGGGGCAGACTCAAACGAGGCACACCGTAGCGGCGCAGCTCGTGTCGGAGATTTACTCGGCTCCATGCGGCGTGGCTCTTTGTCAGGCTGAAGCTCTGCTGTCACGGCGAAGATGGCGTTGGTGTCATGGTGCAGCATCACCCACTCCCGCCCACGCCGTGTTGCAGACGGGCCGCTCCGCAGCAGGCGGGCCTGCGACTCGTCCACGGTGAAGCACCCGTCAATAGCCAACTGCCGGGGCATAAACGAAATTAGCAACATGGCAATGCCCAGCGCACCTCCAGCCGCGTCCGCGCTTGACGCTGCCTTCGTTGCAAGGCTGTGTTTCTGGACACTCGAGATTCCCGAGGCGGGATATAGAGACTTTGGCTTTCGCTGCTGCTGCTGCCTCTTTTTCAATTGCTTCAAAGACACGGGATGCTGCTGTAGCGAGGTAGCGGGTGGAGGTACATGCGGAGACTGCGCCTGTTGTCGTTGCGGGCTCAGCGTATGGTCGCTGCTGCCGCTGCCACGGCAGGTGGCTTCCTCCGCGCTCTCGTTATAAAAGCTCCCATCGTCCATACGTGTGGGACTTCCATCGTCGCCCCGCAGTGCAGCGAGATACTCCCCCGCAGTGTACACATCGTGCAGCTGATCAATGTCTCCGAGTGCTTTTTTTGCAAGGCAGCGAAGCCCCTCACTGTAGCCGTCCTTCAGAGCGAGCAACTCCGCCGCTAGGATCTCCTGTTCATGCCGCATGCGTGCCAACTCATCCTCTAGCTCCTTGGCGCATGCAGCCTTCTCTCCCTCACGCTTCACCGCCTTCTGCTTGGCCGCTTCCGCCACACGTGCAGCTTCCTGAGCCAGCTGAATGTTTCTCTCTGCTTCCTGAGCCCGTCTCGTTTCCGCATCACACATGGCATGCACCTCCTCCACCTCCTTAAAGAGGTTATCACGATCACATTTCAACTGCTTCACGCGAATACGAAACTCCTCACACTTCTGCTGAATTTCTTGTCGTTCCGTGTTTTTGATGTCTAGCAGCCCTCGCAGCTCCGTGACAAGCTCCCTCCAAGGCACGTGGTCTTCGCGACCTCTTCTGCAGGCACATCCACCATCGTTGCCGTCTCCTTCATATTCCCTTCAGGCCCTTGCGGCTTTCCGACAACCTCATAGACAATTTCAGGCACTTCATCGCATCCTATGACGCCCCGCTTTGGCGGGACAGTGAGCGGTGGTGGCGGGTTGGCCATGAGGTCGGCCGTCTCCTCGTTCTGCGCCTCCTCTGTATTAGTGGCCGCGTCATGTTGCTCACGTGGGGCCGTCTGTGAGGCCGCAGCCACGCAGTGAGCCACTGCCATGATCTCCTTGGACACAACTGTGGGCCTTCTACTATTCTTCTCTTCCTCTTTCTCCTCACCATTGATTGCACGACTTTCTAAGGATGTGGGCTCCGCGGCGTCTGGCGTGATTTGGGTCTCCTTTGAGACTCGTCCCGCATATGCTTCTGCTACGGCAGTGGGAAACATTTCACGATACAGCTTTCGGTTAAAACATTGCGCGAAGTAGTGTGCCCACTCCACATGCTCCTGCGTGCTCCGCGTGCGGAAGAGAATGGGGGGGTTCACTGCCTTGCCGCATGCCTGTGTACTGGGTTGCTTGGGGATAAAGCCAAAGTAGGCGTGCTCCGTATCCCCGGCATACTCAATAGCAATGCGGGTCATCAGCTGATCATATCGATCAGGTTGTTTGTGCCGCATGTACAACGATGCCCTGCTGTCACCTTCCTGCAAAGCCGCAGCCTCACTGAGGTGCACTGCGTCGCCCTTGTGTTTCTCAACAGCCCCTATTCTCCCATGCATCAACGCACTCTCCTCCTTGGGCCTCCTCTCCATGTGAAGGGGGGAGGAGAAGAGACCACCGCCGCTTTCCGTCACCCGCCCCCACGCATGCGCAGCACCTGACTTGACAGCCACGTCGCACAGTTTCTCATCCGCCGCGGGCACATCACGAAACGAGGGCACAAAGTACTCCATGTCCCTAAAGGGCACCAACAACAGAGCCCGCTGGAACGCGTGCTGCCTGTAATCCTCCTCACTGCGGTAGACGGTCAACCCGCGGTCATCGGCCACCACAAAGTATGTTCGCCACGAGCCTAGAAAAAAACGAGCAGACATTTTCTTCTGGACCATGTTCTCCACATTCATCATTGACAACAACCCACAAGCTTGTCCCACGCTGTGGACAAAACCAAGCGGCAGTGGCACGTTAGGGAGACCATGGATGTGCGGGGGTGCCCGATTTACCCAGGGTGTCGAATCTTCCTTCCTGCACTTGACGGCGCTCGCCGACGCGCCCAAGCCGCATGCTTCCATCGCTGAGACGGAGCCGGCGTAGGCGCCAGGAACATCGCGCGCGTATTGTCGATGCACGGCGTAGGCAGCAAAACGGTAACTAACAGCCAACGAGGTACGCAGTCGCAGTATTTCACGGTCTTTTTCCCGTAAAAAACTGAGTAACAGACGTCTTTCTTGCGGCGTCACATGCAACCTGGGTCGCGGCTGTGCAACAGCGCCCGAGGAGGAGGAAGCGGCGGCGGCGGCGGCGGCGGGACTGCTTTCGCTGCTTCTGTTCATGCTGCCTTTGTTGCCGTTCCATGTATTCGGCTTCTCGGGTGCCACTGCAGCTAGATCCTCATTTTGTTGCAGCAGCATGTAAAGGATGCGCTCTGCTACGGCATTGGGATTCGCGTACTGCCCAATCACCTCAGCACCGGGGGAGGTTGAGTGAATGACTGCGAAACGATCTGTGCCGTGCACGGGGCTCAATGCAGATCTGGCGAGGATAGCTTCATCATTGCACGGTGACGTTTTCCATCCGCGGTAGCATTCCTGCGTGCTGGCCACAGCTGAGAGCCGTTCTGTATGCGCATGCAACGGGGTCGTCCTCGCGGTGGCCGCCTCCAACCAGTCTGACTTTGTCGACTCACGGGTCCTGTTGCCGTCCTGAAGGGCTGCCCCTGCCGCGTGCGACGACGGCGAGGATACCGGCGGCGGAGCCAGCGATGCGGTTGCCCTGTTTCCAGCGGAGATGTCGTGGCTATGACGAGGATAGGCAACACCGCTGCTCATGCGCCCAAACGCGGCACGCACGTCCACCAAAGGCTGGGGAAACGTTGTACCTGCCCCAACCGACGGCTGGTGTCCTTCCCCGCCACGGCCTTCACTACCACCCCGCTCCGCACGCGCATCGGCCCCATCTCCATCGTCAATCCTCTCGTCACGGCGAAGGGACAAAGTTGACATCCGAGGCCGCGATTGTCCCTCCGCCCCAACGCCATCCATGTTATGTGCAGGGCTCCGACGGTTTTTCATCATGGGCCGTTGAAGCACCCGCTGCAGTCCCGCGTCCTTCACCCGCCGCGGCTGCAGCATCTCGCTCATCCGCTGCGTCCCGGCCGCGCAGGCCACCTGAGGCATGTAGACGACGCCGTGGCTGTCCCAGCCGCCGCCGCCCCGGCGCGGCCCCTCTTCAACGCCGCTGAAGCTAAGAGAGCGGGAGCCCTCCGCGTCGTGGCGCTGCGGCAGGTGCAAGACTGTCGGTGAAAACTTCCTGCGCATTGCGCGCCTCGTGTGCAGAACAAGTGGGAGAAAACAAGAAAAACAGCACCCCTTTTTTTTTGCTTGCTTGTTGCCAATCACGCTTCGGCCGGCTCGCTTCGCCGACGGACAGCGCTACCGCGCGACGAGCGGTGCAGGAAGGTCTCACCCAAAATAATAAATGTCTTCCCGGAGGAAGGATCACAACAACGCGGTACAAAAAAAAAAGAGGAGATATAGAGATAGAGATAGAAAGGCAGGAAGGAACATGCAAACGAGGAGAACAGGCATGGCGGCGAGGGAACGAAACACCACGGGCCAGTCCAAGCTATGCAGCAAGGCGGGGGTCCACGGCATCCATCCAACGACCTTCCCTCTCCTTTTGCCTGCGTCCTCCTCTCTGGCGCTTCCCTCCACTAGTACTGGGCCTATACATATTACAGCTTCCCTTCGCCGGTTTGTCTGCGCATATCTTCCTTCCTCAGAAGGAGCGTTCAAGCGTGTAGCCAAAAAGCTCGGCGTGGTCGGCGTCGTCGGGTCTCCTATACGCTGTGAACAACTGATGCATCCGCTCCGTCGGACCCACCATGCGCGACGCGGCGAAGTGGCCCTCACTTTTCATTGCCTCTGGCACGGACCACCCAACTTCCTGCGAGGAGGTCTGTGGCGTTGTGTACTTTTCCTGCGGCGCGAGTGCGTTGCGTGCCGCAAGATACAGGGCCGATCTGCCACGCGCATTCACCCCGTCGTTGCAAAACAATATCGACTGTAGCGCGTCATTGTCCTTGTGGTAGGTTTCAATCTTTGCTGCCTCGCGCTCCAGCGTACGCTCGAGGACCTCAGCGCACCTCTGCCCCTCGTGTTGGTCGTACTTTTTCAACCAGTTGCTGTGAATTCGCTGCTCCGCATCCACCTGAGCTCGCCAGCAGGAGGAGGCGCCTTGACTACTCTTGAGGCCCATGGCAACCGTCATGGAGGGCTTCATGCTCTTCTCGTACAGCTGCGGGTTAACGGAGGGGCATGTGTTTTTCTTCTTGGGCACCATTTCCCTTCTTTTGCCTCGACCCCCCTTTTTTTTTTTGTGTATGTTTCTTGCAGACACTCAGCGCAGCAGAAAATCAAAGGGCGAGCCAGACGCGCATGCGTGGCGGAGCGAGAAGAAAACACAACAACAACAACAGCAGCAGCAACAACAAGAACAAAATAATAATAACAATACCAACTGGAGACGTAAATAACAACAAGCAACGCACAAAAAGCCACAAGCACCACCCACCACCGCTGCTGCAGCTCTTTGTTTTTTATTTTTTGCCCTCAATTTCTCTTTGCTCTTGTGAGACAAATTTCAGTTTTTGGAGAATTGTTCCATCGGGGCCCCATGCACGCGGATCACAAAGAGCAAAAAAAAAAAACCTCCACCGCCGTGCCTGTGGAAGAGGAAAATCGTCCACTACGGGAAGACACACCGGCACACATGCACAGATATATATATATATATATATATATATAGTAAGTAAGTA